TGACATTCTGCTTGCTACAAATGATATGTGCATGTTGCACGAAACTAAGAAATTTCTTTCGAGTAACTTCGAGATGAAAGATCTTGGTGAAGTGTCTTTTGTATTAGAAATTCAGATACAACGAGAGCGATCTCGAGGTATTCTACGGTTATCACAAAAGAGCTATATCGATAAAGTACTTGAGAGATTTGGCATGCAGAACAGCAAACCAGGAAATACCCCTGTGGCTAAAGGAGACAAATTTAGCCTAAGTCAGTGCCCAAAGGGAAATTTGGAAATCCAGGAAATGCAAAAGGTCCCTTACGCCTTGGCAGTTGAGAGCCTAATGTATGCTCAAGTATGTATGCGCCTGGATATTGCGTATATAGTTAGTGTGTTAGGTAGATACCTTAGTAATCCAGGATTGGATCACTGGAAAGCAGCCAAAAGGGTGATGAGATACCTTAAGAGAACTAAGGATTATATGCTCACATATAGGAGGTCAGACCATTTGGAGATCGTTGGATATTCTGACTCCGATTTTGCTGGGTGCTAAGACAGTAGGAAATCTACGTCTGGGTACTTATTTATGTTGGCTGGTGGTGCCATTTCTTGGCGTAGTGCTAAACAAACACTTGTTACCACTTCCACTATGGAAGCTGAGTTTGTGGCGTGTTTAGAAGCATCACACCAGGGAATCTGTTTAAGGAACTTTGTCTCAAGGCTGCGTATCATTCAGGAGGTTGAAAGACCTATCAAGATCTTTTGTGACAATAAATCAGCCGTTTTGTACTCCAACAACAATAGGAGCTCGTCTAAATCAAAGCATATTGACATTAAGTTCCTAGTTGTGAAGGAGAGGGTACAGAGTGGTCAAATTTCCATTGAACACTTAGGGACAAAATCTATGTTAGCAGATCCCCTAACTAAAGGTGTAACACCTATGGTATTTCACGAGCATACTGCTCATATGGGTGTGTTACACATTCAGGAAGCTTCACTCTAGTGGGAGCATTTGCTACATTTTTGTCATATTGTTCGATGATATGTAAAGTACTTATTCTGATCATAAATAAAGTTTTGGTTCATGAAACTTTGTACATTATGTTTTGGTACTTAACGATCTCATTAAGTTTGGACTAGTTGAAAATTGACATGTGCTGATCACATTCATGTAATTTTCATGCCATATGTTCTACAGTTTGATCTATGTCATTTAATCATGGTGATATATGTGATTAGTGATAGTTTAGTTGTGTCTATACGGCGAAAACTGCTTTAGTCCTATATTGTTGTGATTAATGGACCAGATTGTTCAAGTTCTGTAATAATGACCATATTTTGAGCTCATAAGGTATAATGTATTATCAGGACGCATATTTAATCCAGTGGGAGATTGTTAAATCTATTTTGGGATTAAATATGTGTAATTGATACATTGGGTCATTATATTGTTTAGCCAAATTAAGTGATCAAATTATTGTACATTGGCTAAGGAACTTAATTTAGATTGTGGAATGATTAAATGTGGACACTCGGTAATATTATTATTTGGTGACATAACAAATAATAATATTAAACTTAAGGACCTAATTAGCAATTAATTTGGCCCCAAAAGCCGTGAAAATAAAAGGGGGCCCTTGGGATTCTTTATTAAAGGTTACAATATAAACCGACGCCCGAACTACGCTCTTCATACAGTTTTCTCTTACGTCAGAGGAGAAGAGATCTGGTTCACGGCCTTTTGGAAGATCTCTAAAATCCCAAATCTCCAATTCGATTCCAGTGCAATCAATCGATATGAATCCGTCAGGTACGCTTCCGCTCTTCAGTTTGATTCTCGATTATTCAATATGAACGCTCTTGGGATTAATCGATTTATTTCAAATAAAGTAAAATCCAATTCTATCAGATAATTCTATTCTCTTTCTTTTATTTTTATTTATTATGTTAGGGTAGTTTTTATTTCTAGTTACAGGGAATTCGAACTCTACGATTGACGATGTTTTGATTTATTTATATGGTTGATAATTTCAATATCTTTTTAGAATTGTTTGTGTTATTTTGAATAATTAACCATGATGTGTTGAGTCTTATTTAGATTGATCACCCAGATTAGGCTTTTCATATCTATAGCTGAATTAGACATTCAATCTGTAATTGTTGTTGTGTTTAATTAATAAGAGGCAACCGAAAGACGGTAACTACCGGGGATAACATGGCCTAATTAAGTGAACAAACGCGGTTGAGTTCACTACTTAGTCTAGCCTATTTTTCTAATTCCTAAAGAGACTAATTGTATTAACTCGAAAACGTTTTTCTGGACTGTACAAGAAGTCAGGTTTAATCGTAGAGCGTCTTGTGGTTAAATTAAAAATAAGAAAAAATTCGAGTAACAGACCGTGTCGTTACCTAGGGCTAGTAATTCCATAAGATAGCGAGATTTGATACCAAAGTTGATTAGACGAGTCAGTCGAGGGTATACACGAACCGTGAACTAGATGTTTCTCTTTGTTTTTTTAATTTTATATTTATTTTCTTGTTTAGATTTTATTTATTTCATTAGAATTTTAGGTAGTTTAGTTATTAAATCAAAACCCCCCTTTTTTATCGCTTTTATAATTTCAATTAATACGAGAAAATTCACATTTTAATGGACACTCCTCGTGGGATCGACCCCTAGTTAGTAGAGGTTAGTTAAGGAAAATATAAATTCTAATTTGCCGCGTTGCGACGCGCGGTCACAAGTGCTATCTCGTCTCCATCATCCTCCCACGGTTGAGAAGGATTCACCCTCGAATTCAAGCCGATTTCATCTCCGTTCGAGTTGTCACCCAGATACGACACCAAATGTTTGACATTGAACACGTCAGAGTGCGGATGTGCGACGGTAGGTGGAGACGGTAAGCATTGGGGTTGATCTTCTCAACGATCTTGCCAGGTAAATCTTGTGAGTGGATAGCTTGTTATACTCTTGAGCCGAAATCGATCATTTGTCAGAACCGCCCACACATAATCACCCACTTCGAACTCTATGTGACAGCAACGAGCATCCGTCTGACGCTTATACACTGCTGTCGCCTTCTCCAAATGAGCCCGAGCCGTGACACGCATCTGCTGTAAATCGGTAATAAGATCCTTGCCCGCTGATCAGACGCCACGGTGAATGGCAATGCCAGCAAATACGACAGGCCACACGGCTGCACGGCATACATGACCTAAAAAAGAGAAAAGTCTGTGGTCCGACTAACTGTCGAGCTATGCGCGATCTCGGATTGACTGAGAAGTTGGTCCCAACTCCGCAGGTTCTCGCCCACGAGACAACGAAGCAAATTCCCAAGAGAGCGATTCACCACCTCCTTATGACCATCTGTTTAGGGATTATAGGCACTGCTAAAGTCCATTCGGGTATTGGCCATCTGCCACAAGCTGCGCCAAAAGAAACTAAGAAAACTAGTATCGCGGTCCGAGACAATAGAGGGCGACAACCCATGCAAGCGATAGACCTCACGAAAGAATAACTGTGCCGACATGAACGACATCGGTCGTGCATTTGCAGGGAATGAAGTGGGACATCTTGGAGAACCAGTCAACGACAACAAAAATGGAGTCATAATCTCGATGTGTGCGTGGCAACCCCAATACGAAGTCAATACTAAGCGCACTCCACGGCTGCAAAGGTATCGACAAAGGGCGATAAAGCCTGACATTGGACGCTCCACCCTAGGACACCTGACAGACCCGACAGTGCCCCACAAAGCGCGAAATATCATGGCGCAATGAAGGTAAAAAAATGAGCGATGTACCAAGTCGATGGATCTATCGTGACCTACGTGCCCAGTGCCATGAAGATCCGCCACCAACCGCAGGCAAAGACTACAGTCCAGAAAACACGACCGCACGCCCCAAAAAAGAAAGCCATCAGACAGAACATAGTTCTTGAAAGGACAAGATGCGAGGCGAGTAACGATCGAGCCGAAAAAGAGATCGATCGCATACAGATCACACAACAAACCAAAGCCAACCACCGAAACCCCCATATCAAATTTACACGTTTGACTGAAAAAATTTAAGGAAATGATTGATCGGATTTCGGAAGCAAGATTTTCAAGATTTTTTCTCATTATTGATCAAATTAACACGTAGCATTTAAGGAAATCATTACCCATAATTTTTGGAATTAAAGTTTACATAATATCTTTCTGAAATATAATAATATATATATATATTTTAAATTTGAATTCGAATCTTCATTTAGCCGCCATTTTCTTAAAAAAAAAATACTAAGAATAGTAAATTTAAAAATTTTAAGTGAGAATTTTAATACTATTTCAAGTAAATCGCTCATTCTATTATATAGTAATAGATTTTAGGGCGATTTAAAGGATTGATCGGATGTGGGCTAATCTATGAAATATATTTTGAGATTGAATTTAACAAACATTATATAATTAAAGGGGAATTCTACCATCCCGTTACGGGATGGTTCCGTTGTATTTTGTAGCTGTAGATATACATGTAATCTAATAATGTGTAGATAATCTACGGTTAAAAAATACAATGGAACCATCCTGTAACAGGATGGTAGCATTCTCCATAATTAAATATGGAAGTGAGTACAAATCTTGCTCTCATGATTCAGCCGCACAAAATACACATATTCCTAAAATTTAGTCGCATATAAATTTGTCACTCAAATTCAACCGCACAAAATCTTGAAAACACGGGCAGGATAATAAAAAAAAAATTCAAAGAACATTTACATAATTAATAACAAATGAAATTTTGAGCGGGAAATCGTAATGCTATTTTTTTATTTTTTTATTGCTATTGTATAGTAATAGATATTTTTTTTATTGGGTACAATATAGTAATAGATTTTTCATTGACCATAAAGGTAAACTATACATGTATTTTGTTCAATGAAAAGGAGTATTTTATCACAAAAAAATCTGCATAAACAAATTTAAAAAAACAGCAAAAGAAAATGATAAAAAAGAGTGGCCAATAAGGCAGCTTCCATGCCCCAACCGCCAAAGCCTTTCCGTTCCCAAATAATGGTGCTCCTCCCGCCCCCGCCGTTATCCCCTTCCGCCAATTTCTCCAGTCACCCCCAACGCCACCTGCGGCGGACTATTCTCCCCCGCCGACTTCTTGCCACGCCGGCAGCGTCCTCCCGTGAGGTGGACTACTTCACGCAGTCCTCCGGTTATCTATTTGAGCTGAGCTCTTCCGAAGCCGAATCACTGACCGAGTACAACGTATCAAAAATCGCGGTAATATATCAGAAGAGGCCTTTGATTCTTTTCCGCCGACTGTTTCAAACCGCCGCCACTCTCGGCAAGTGGTTCGCCCTGCGGTACTACGACAGTCTCGCCGAGCAGGTTGATACTATGTTCGAGGTCAGAATTTCACCATTTTTCCGTTATGGAGTGTTGATGCCCGTTTCTAATGTTGTTTTGAAAGTGTGTGTTGCAAAATTTGGCACATCAGTATCCTTGGGACTTGGAGGTCTTAGCACGACTTGCTCTGGGAGTGTTGATGTTCATCTGGAAATTGGTGGTTGTTGTTTTTTGGTCTTTAATGTCAATTGTGATTGTCAGTTGTTAGTTTGTTTGTTTTTGGTCTTATGAGTTTGCTTATGTTTGCTATTTACTTCAAAAGGTACTTATGCTTTCTATTTGAATATTGTAATCTATACCTTTGGGGCAAGTGAAATTATAGGATCATTGCTTATAGTGAATCTGCCTCTTCATACATACAGTTTCCTGTTGTAACCTAAGAGATTGATTTTGTGTAATAAATAGGTCTGAAGAAATTAGGACAGAGTTAATTTGTTTTATGAGAAAATCAGATGTTATGATTTGTATCTTCTGGAACTTCGTTTTGTCCTTCATTTTTTGTTGAAGCAAAAGATTTATACTCTCTCATGTTTGGATCTGATCAATCTTTTCATTTCCGTTTCTCAATTTTGGATTGTAGGTTAGAGCTGCTCAATTGAGAAAGATACTAGTGCAACTTGGTCCGGTAAATTGCTTAGTTATTATACATCATGCTGTTCGCAAGACCAACTTCTAGCTCTATGGCTATCTTTATCTTTGAAAATAAATAAAGTTTTTTGCATTTCCGTGGCCTTTTACGTTTAACTTAAACATATGATTTTACGTGTGGTAAATACCCAGAGATGTTTCACTTGTATTCTTTGGCAGAGGAAATGAATGTATGTTATGACCAAGCTTCAGTTGGTGTTCAATTTTCATGGGACTTGATTATCCAGTAGTTTCCCTTCACAACAGAGGGCAGAATCCGTCGAAAAACAAAATAATTCTGGGAAACTATGATGAATGATGTCTGCGGAGAACTCAATTCAAAATCTAGCTCAAAACAGAGGCTACCAAACTCACGTCTGTATACAATAACAGTCTAGTTAGTTGGTGGTGTGGAACAAATGCAACTTCTAACGTATAAAATGACTTAACTTTTTTATTGTGTTTCTTTAAGAGGGAGACAGGGTTATGACACCTTGTAATACTTTACCAAACTCACATTGATTCCCTTGTGTGATAAATTATTAGCACTAAACTCACATTTGGACCCTTGACTTAAATAATATATTCAATGCTACGGTCGGTTCCATTTTATTCTTTAAAATGTATGATTTGGATAATGTACAACAATTTTACTAATCTCTTCTTTCTCTTCTGCTGTAGGCCTACATTAAGATAGCTCAGGCTATTTCATCTAGACCCGTAAGTTCTGTGCGCCTTTTATTTACGATTATTCTAAATAATTTGCAGTCCAAATATGCTCAAGTTTTGAGATGAAAGTGCAATAACGCATATATCATGGAGAAGTTCCATGGTCCGGATCTGTAAGACCATAAAAATCATGTAGAGAATAGAGATGATGCAATTATACTCAGTTGAAAGTTTCTCATTTTTATAAATAATACGAAATAACATTCCTTTTAGTAAGGGAGGTATGATGGAGGTCGATTATGACGATTATTTAAGTAGTTTTTGCTTCAATTGTACACATTCAAATGGAGCAGCTGTACTTCAAGCTTGTGAGCTGTTAAATAGGGCAGACTTATACACTGATAGAAATTTCAATAGCCAAGATAAATGACTGGTAAGACTTTTAGGATCGGTTGCTGTCAGCTAGTGTTTAGCATTGAATATTACATGAGTTCCTTGATGACTTGAAAGCATGGCCTTGCTGCCAAATAATTATCACTCAGCACATTAACTTCAAAGTAACGAAGGTTAATGAGTAAGAATTATTTAATATTCAGAACACTTTACGTTCAATCACCATATGAAGTCAATAAATTTTCTCCGGAAATATTAGTGTTGCTAAATATGACTTTGAGAACTATATTTTTCTAATGTTTAGACTTGAGACAGAACATTGACATTAACATATATCTTTACACTTTAGCTGCAATAAATTTCCTCTCAAATACTGTTATTTACAGGATTTGATACCACCGTCATACTTGGATGAGCTTTCCCTTTTGCAAGATCGAATTGCACCTTTTTCCACAGAGGTTGCCTTTGATATAATAGAGCAAGAACTTGGATTACCAATAGCTGCATTGTTCTCGGAAATCTCACCTGAGCCTGTGGCAGCTGCATCACTTGGACAGGCATGTCTTGCTGTTTACGTAATTTTATTTTGAAATGATCCTGATTATAAATCTTTTGTGGTACTAATTAGATAAAATACTTGGTTTAAAAAAAAAAAAATTGATGTTTGGAAAAGGTTTATCAAGCTAGGCTTCGCTCCAGTGGTAAGGTCGTTGCTATTAAAGTTCAGAGGCCTGGTGTCAGAGCTGCAATCTCGTTGGACATACTAATCTTGCGGTACCTGGCAGGGGTTATAAGAAGTGCAGGAAAATTTAATACTGACCTTCAGGTGGGATGAATAATCAAATTTGCATTATGTTGCTCGACTTCAGACCATGAACGCTATTATCATCTGCATATTTTATTAGAACACTGAAGACTATAATTTTGCAGCCTCTAACATTTTGTTTACTTGCCCGCTTATGTAAGATCTTTCGATGCGCCTCCCTATTAGTAATGTTTCTTACTACTTACGTGTAACTAACACATCTCTGATTTGCAGTCCGTAGTTGATGAATGGGCAACAAGCCTTTTTCGGGTAAATTATTCTTTTCATAACTTTTTACACAATTTCAGTGCCCCCCGTATATACTGCAGTTTTCTTTGTATATACTGAACTTTCATTTTACCAGATTTAGCACTCTTGATTTTGTTCTTCCAAATTGGAAAGTGCTAATTTTTATATGCATTGTGGGAACTTCCATACATTTATGCCGCCTTCATTCCTATAGGTCTAGATTCAATACTTACATATATATGTTCGAAAGAGTCCTTAGGAATAATATGGTACCATAGGAACGTTGGTTTTTTGTGCCATGACAAAGAACCATGATAACAGTTTCCTCAACTGATATTGTGATAGATTTAAGTAAAGCAACTTTTTGGTAGTTTGGCTTGATTTGTTGATTATAATCCTGGGAGTCCTGCTTAACATTTCCCTTTATCATTTGCTTGGACGAGAAATCTTCTTAGGTCATCGATTGAATACAGGTAATCAAATTGAATGCAGGAGATGGATTACAAGATAGAAGCAGAAAATGGAGTTAAGTTTAGGTAAACAAGTTCACTCTGCGACTATCTCAACATCCTTTATGCTAGCTTTCTGTCAGTAGAACTCAGACGGGTAAAATCTGACTGACTTATAAAGACTTTGCTTTACTGGATGAATACTTGATAATGGGATTCTGTAATTTTTCCTTCGTGTAATGGAAAAAACGAAATGAAGTGCAGAATTCATAATTACCTTAAAACCATTGTTACTTTTTAAGGGTGTAGAAATTACTTAACAAGATATTCAGTTTCTACATGTTTGATCTGGGCAAAAATTACCTTTATTTTCCTAAGTCCAAGAAAAATTATCTGAGATACTTTTCTCTATGTTTTAACATGCTACCAATTGCGAAGCATGATTGGTTTTTTCTGCCGTTTGATGATTTCCTCTTTGTGTTCTAGTAGAAAAAATTTCATGCTCTCATATCGCCCTTGTTTATTCAAAATTTTTTACACTATTTAGGTTTCTGAAGAATACAAGCATCTGTAGGAATTAGAATTTAGTTCATTTAGTGGCTTAGAGTAGATACTGATTGTGATACTTCCGTTGATTGATTTTGTCTTCAACTTTGTAATCTTGATTGGATTATTGCCTTTATCCTGCTGCAAGGCTTAACATGTTGTAANTTTTGGAACATATAAAGCAGTAAACTTTCAATAAGTTACTTTTACTTTTGTGTGTTATGCCAGAGACAAGATAATAGATGTTTCAGACATATTCATGCGTATATAGAGTCGCCATACTAATCTATTTTGAACCAGTTGCCCAACACAAATAATCGCCACATGATGCAAGAACCTCACAAACTAGACTTTAAGGTTTTATGGTTAAAGGCGGATCCAAATGATTGTGAACAAAGATAACCAACTAGAAAAAATTCCAACCTCAAGAAAGAATTTCATTTGTGCCCAAGTTAGACGAGTAGAACACACAGAAACAAGGATGAACCACAGACACATTCAGGTATAAAACACAAACACTGAATACAATAGTGTTGTGTTTATGCAATTCTTTGGTGCACACATTGGTATAAATCTCTTCCAGCCTAATATGTACTGAAAACTGAAAGTAAAATTTTGTTATTGAACAGAGGAAACTTTAATGTATGAAAGTGAGGAAGTCTTGGAGCTCCTACTCTTTCAATCTTCTTTTGTAATTGCTTCAGTACTGCTGAAACCATTTCTCAGGATCTTAATCTTTTTCCTCATCGAAATATTTTAATTTAGTTCATATACATTTTGAAATTATCAAGCCAGTTTTCTAACTGCTACTACTCAATCAGACAGTTATATGGTAACATACAAGATGTTGTTGTTCCTGAAATGTATGTTGAGCAAACAACTCGGAAGGTCCTTACGATGCAGTGGGTTGAGGTAATTATATATTTTTTTCTGTTCTAAATGTTGATATAACTTTTTCTTGGGTGTTTATATCTTTGAACATGTAGCGAAAAGCTACTGGGCGTGCCTGTGAATTAAAATAGTGATTGTATAGTAGATTGTTAGCAAGTTGTATTGTGTTTCAATTAATTGTAAGAATCATGCACAAAGGTTTTTTCATTCTGTTTCTTACTTTCACATAGCTCTTCAAATTTTTGCCGCAGTCATTGAAGTGTATAATTTTTAAAACATAAAACTAGACCCAATAACCACTTATTGTAGAAGTAGAATTATTTATATTGGACAATCATTCTTTGGGGCAGTATCTTATGCATATAATACCAGGCCGAGAAGAAAGGGGCATAACTCTTTTAGTAATTGCACGGAAGTCAAAATGCTACCTTGGTGGATTTGAGTTATATATCCTTTGAGAAATGCACTGAATAATGATTTTTAGTCTTAAACATGATAGAATTTATTATTTCTTAAGTTCTGTAACATTTTGTTTAATAAGTATACTAACGTTTTACGGAACTTCTTTCTTCTTTGGCACCTATTGAATGACTGTAGGGTCAGAAGCTGGCTGAGGTTAAAGACCTGTACATGATTGAGGTCTATTCTTAAAACACTTGCAGCGTATTATCTACCTAAACCACGTCCAATATATAAGTTGTTAAACTACTGAACCAACAGGTGGGAGTTTATTGTTCATTCAATCAACTTCTAGAGTATGGGTTCTATCATGCTGATCCCCATCCTGGAAACCTTCTTCGCACATATGATGGGAAACTAGCCTACTTAGGTATTGATTTAATATAATATCTTGTAACACAATAAACATATTTGGTTGACATGACATCTTACTTTTACAGCCTTGCCATAGATCAGTGCTAAATTTACCCCACACCAGTGGCTTTCTGGTATACACACCATTTCTGAGTATGTAATTGCTTCTTAGATGTTATTGAGGGGCTAAATAAAGCTTTATAGGCTTGTAGTAGTTTTTCACTCACATATGCGTCTTGGCTATACCATTTATCAACATTGATAAATTACTACATTGATATCGCTCTTTGTATTAGCTACACTTGTTAGGATTTGGGAGAAAGAGAAGAAATCAGTGGTGGGTTTTGTAATTACCGAGGATCCCATGCAAGACTTGTTTATATCCAGTCCAACTATGCAAGATTCAGATGTTCTCAACATAGGCTGTGTATAATTATCTATGAGTCCTTTCAAGAGGCCTTTTCTTGTGCTATTTGCCATGTGACCCAGTGCATTGCTATGAAAGAGCGAGAGGTTGAACATGATAAGGGTATATGAAAATTTTGTCACTGAAAGAACAGAGAATATGAGAAAACCTACGTTATTATGAAATCAGCCAAACCCATGAATCACTTATTTATGAAATTTATCAAAAGAACAAGCTATAGTGATATATAGCTTCTAAGTCTTTCTTTTTATATGATAAGATACACTCTAATGATTCATAGCCCTTGATTTTTTTATACCTGTAACGTTTAATTGCTCAATAATGTTTGTCGTCCAAAACTTACTCCAAAGGGTACACAACCAGGTGTATATATGGTTTTCTTTAGTCTGTGATGCTAACTGTTTGAGCTGTTCTGGTCTTGGGATTTGAATTCTATCACATTCATCAGTTTCTGAAAAATGTGTTTTTATTTCTTAGACTTTGGCATGATGGGTGAATTCAAACAAGAGCTTCGTGATGGCTTCATAGAAGCTTGTCTCCATCTTGTAAATCGTGATTATGATTCACTGGCAGAAGACTTTGTAACTCTTGGGTACCATGACTATCTTTTGACTGCATCAGCTGATTGTAGGTATAATACTGAAGGTTCTTAAACTTCATGTAACAGGTTTCTTCCTCTAACAGCTGATAAGGATGCAGTCACAGAGGCATTGACAGGTTCTATTTGATGCCAATTAAGTCACTTAGTCTAATTCAACTTAGCATCGCCATGTTTTTTTCTCGTTATCGAATTGTTATTGTAGTTTCACTGATATATAGGTGTCTTCCGCAATGCCGTTTCCAAAGGGGTTCGCAATATAAGCTTTGAGGATCTTCTTGGGAATCTTGGAACGACCATGTATTACCTTTTGTGATAGCTTCACCTTATATTGGATATTTTATACGGCCTAATGTCGCAGAACCGTTACCAAATTTCTTATAACTAGTGGAAGGGAACTATGGATACCCCGTTTTGGAATTTGAGCGGTTTCTTTCTCTTAAATGCACTATTATTTTATGAACAAATTTGCTTGTTTACGTCTGCAGGTACAAATTCAAATTCAGAATTCCTTCTTATTTTTCTCTGGTCATTAGAAGGTGGTTCTGTATTTCTTTGATATCCATCATCTCCTGTGTACCTTTAGTGCTGTTTAACATTGTTATGTGTCTCTAGTTTGTGTGAAATCTGCATAAAACTTACAAGATCTCTTTTATCGGTCCAGTCTTGCTGTTTTGGAAGGCATTGCCATCACCTTCAACCCGGAGTACAAGGTTTTGGGTAATACCTACCCTTGGATAGCCAGAAAAGTGCTGACTGGTGGCTCGCCAAAGCTAAAATCATCTTTGCAAGCTCTTCTGTACGAGGTACATCACCCATAGAGGTTACGGTTGGTTAGCTTTCTACGTTATATGTTGCCTTCATGATTCTCTTTTTGTATGGCACTTTTGTTTAACAAAATCGAGGATACTGATACAACTTTTTAAACTAGGATGGAGTATTCCGGATTGATCGATTAGAGTCTCTCCTAACAGAGGTGAGGTAATAATGTGTACATAAATATATCCATCACAGTCATGTATGTCATTCTATTTAGGGAATAGCTAATAACATTTGAATTTAACTTGGGGCTCACCCGCCTCTATTAGTTTATGTATATATAGCCTGTTGTGTCTCAGTTCCATTATTTATATTTTGTGATCTCCAATATATGTTGTATGAGGCTTGTGATCCGTCTCTCTCCCATGTATCTGGCTGCAATAGTGGCCAAAATTAGCTACACTTGAGGCTTGAGAATTTGATATTTTAAAGGAAATAACTGATTTATTTGCTTTTCTCTTCATAATATGATGCTTCTGTGACACTTGATAATCAGACTCTTAAGTTGCATAATTTTATGGAGATTCCATTGGTCACTCAAATGTTGCATGCTTCAAATTTACTGAGCATTCCCTGGGATTCGTCTAAGACCTATTTGTTCTTGATGGAGAGGGGAAACAATAAGAGATAAATGAAAGAATCATAAATCATCATTGAAGGGTGGGGATAGCAGCCTAACATGGTTTTGTGGTGGAGATGGTGAAATATTTATTTATATTCATATCGCTGATAATTAAAAACCAGTATAATGGAGATCATGTATTTGAGAAATATGGTTCTTTGCTTTCTGAATGTGTTTTCTGCTCTGTATTACTGTTCGTGTCCAAAAAATATCTTTCCAATTCTACAAGTTCTCTTATAGTAGACTTCCCTTGAGCAGTCCCTACGTGCCAAGATGGAGAGAGCATCAGTTAAAGAGAAGGTAGAAGACGAGTCTAAGATGGTTACCAAACAAATTCTATCTTTCGCTTTGGATGAGAAGGTATATAGGTATATATAAGGTATATAGGTATACATAAGGTATATATACTAGTAAGTACATCACTGGAAGGCAGATCCAAGAAACTAGATAAAAACAGTAATTACATATTTTTGTTTGCACAGGGTGCATTTGTGAGAGAAATACTTCTTGAGGAATTTTCTAAGGTATGAACTTGGGATGTCTTTCGGAATTTCTTTTGTGGAATCATGTCGAAATTACTCTCGTTCAAGGGGATTAAGATCAATCCTTTTGATAGAATTCTCTCTGCGGAAGCTAAAAGAACAAACTAGAAAACTCATATGACAAGTAGCCTGATTAATGGCTAGTCACTTGCAGGCCCTTCAAGTTTACTTACCATTATCTATCTTGTATGATCGCTGCTGACAGAAAAGGTAGGACTATTCTTTAGAATATGAAGCATATATTGTTATGTAAGTGGGAGAGATATGTCTCGTAAAATGCTTGGAAGCCCTGAAAAATATGTAAATGTTTTTAGAAACCTTGTTAACCTTATCCTCAACAAATTTTATTTTGTACTGTGCGGGGGGTTCTGTTTTTTTTGTTTTTTTTGTTTTTTTTAAAAAAAAAAATGGAAATTCTGGCTATTGGTTTATATGGTTCTAGTGAACCAGCATTAAATTCTGAGAAAGTAGTCAATCGGTGTTATCCCGTGGCCTTGGAAATAACATTTTATATTGGATTTCTTATTGCTTTTACTGTCAAATTTCCAATCATACCCCTACATACATGGTTGCCCGATACCCACGCAAAAGCGCATTATAGTACTTGTAAGCTTTTAGCTGGAATCTTACTAAAAATGGGAGCGTATGGATTAGTTCGAGGTCCATGCTGCCATGTTTGCACAAGTCAATACATGACCCTGAATCTGGTGTATTAATTTGGTGAATGCACTTGTATGCAGTAACCAAGCATCACATATTTTGGATCATAAGTTCAGCCTAAATTCTGTATAATTCGATGTATTGTAAGTCGGTCTGAAACTAATTTCCATCTTGAAGGTGAACTCTTTCCTTCTCTCTATTCTGGTTCTTAAGGCCCCAGTTCATTTCTTGGCCGATTTTGTTGCATGTTATGTTAAATTACAACACATCACCTTTGGGTACAATTTACAGCATCAACCATTCTTAGTGTTTTCACCTATAAATAAACCCATTAAGTCCTGTAGTGTAGTTCATATAGCCAGCAATAGACATGGTTAATACTCGGTTTTATAGCTTAAACAACTTCTGGTTGATAGTTATTACTATCCTCTTTTTACATGTTACTAGGGGTTGGATGCACTTGGACTTGCGACCTTGGACTCAATAACATCTGCCATAACTGGAAACTTACCCTTCAGACCATATCCTGCTTCCTCTTTAACCGATGAAGACATCACCAATCTGAGAACACTGCAAAGGCTCATGCAATTACTCTCAGGTCTTCAACACACTGAAACTCCTGGGGTAAGAGATTTTTGTTGAGGAAAATTGTACTTTGCAGTCAATAGAAATATAAGATAATCAACTTTTCCGGCCCAGTTTTCTAACTCATACTTGTAGATTTCAATATTCTGAGCTGTTAAAAAATTGAAATGCGAAAGTTATGCTCCATCTTGCTTGTGTTTGATGTCATTTATAGTAAATATCATAGTGGTGCATTGTGCCTTCACTGTTTGTATAATTTACGAAAAGATATAATTTGTAAGAATTGTATATATTGTAATTTGTTGTAGCAGGAAGTCAAAGGAGTCAACCTGTATGACAGTCGAAATCCATCTTCAAGTGAAGCTGGACTGCTCCCTTATGGAATAGTATCTGGGCAAGAAATGTTACCACTTCTATCTCTTATTGCTGAGGTTTGAAATAAGCAATATAGCCTCTCTAGCATTCAATAGAAAGGCACATGGTCAATTATATCGATTTCTTGTTACTAAAATGGAAGAAAAGTTCAAATCATTATAGTTCAGCATCAAAATATTCCATGTCTTCTACCTACATGAGTCATATGCTAGTACATCTTTTCGTTATCCTTGTATGTAAAAAAATATAGTGATCCGGTTTTTTTTTTTTTTTTCTTTTCTTTTCCTTTTTCAGCTCCCACAAGATTCGAAATATCAATTGTTGAGATTGCCAGCTGATCTAGCAGGAAAACTAGTTTCTCGTGCAGCTGCCAGGACAATAAGGCGGGCTATCGTGTGAAAACACCCAAAACTCCTATGATCACCTATTAAAGAGTCAATCAAGAACAAGTTTTAAATACTAATAAGGAGGTACTTAGCATACAAGTTTGAAAGAATACTCAACATCTATGTTGGAATTTATACTTTATGGAATCTACCTAATCCAATAAACGCACCTATAATTTTATTATTTCAATTCCTATTCCAACCCTTTTAGACTAAAAACAATTTTTTTTTCAAGTGAGTATTGTCTTAGTAAGACATTTTATGAAGCGTGTTCGACAGTAATTTTATTACAATTTTTAACCAGTTAGCTACGAGAAAGCATACAGTATGGAATAGAGGAGCAATCATGGATTTCAATTTTCATACAATGATTCTTCTTCGTTATGTACATACGAGAAAGCGTACAGTATGAAATAGAGGAGCAATCATGGATTTTAATTTTCATATAATAATTTTTCTTCGTTATGTACATAGCATTCAACAGTAACTAAAATGGAAGAAGAATTTAGGCAAACTTCCAATTTTAGTCCTGTTGGTTTGATCTGGTGACGTTTTTAGTCCTAAGAATTGAACATTTTTACTATTTGGTCCTATGGTTTTAAAATTCAAAGCAATTTCAGTCATTTGATACTGAAAATGCAACAATATTTAAATTACAGGACTTAAATTGCTAATAAAAAATATTTTGGATGGATTTTTTATTAGCAATTTCAGTTATGTAATTTTAAATTTTGTTGCAATTTCAGTCTCGAATTACTGAAATTACAACAAAATACTAAATTACAAGATCAAAAGACGAAAAGTTGAAATCTTGGGACTAAAAATGCTATGGCGTTAAACCAGCAGGACTAAAAACGTAATATTGCCAAAAAAATTTATTGCCACACAAAATTAATGTCTGGGGAATGTATTGAAGGATGCAGGGGCAGAGCCACCCCAAAGGCTAGGGTGGGCTCCAGTCTGGTCTTAGTTTTTTGGGACATCTAAATATGTACTAGTAAAAAGTATTTTAGTCCATGTTAAATTAGACTGACGATGAATTAATCTTATTTTGGCTCAAAATAAATTATATTTATTTTGAATTAAATTAATGAATTATATATTTGAAAATAGTTTCAGTCTCTTCTCGCTTTTCCTTTTAACTCATTACGTTGTTTTTCGTCTTCTTTTTGTGTTTACATTATATTATTTAGTTAAATACAATTTATTTGAATAAAATTTATTCGAGACAATAATTGTTTTTGTTAGGCTTCCATTAGAATATTTTGTATGCGGTTGAATTTATTGATTTTTCAATTTAGTTATATATTTTTTTTATTTTTCAAATAAATGGTATTTCAGTATATAAAAAATTTAATGTCAAGTCTCATTTATTTATGTAGCATATTCAACGAAATAATATATGAACCATTTGTCATACAATAAGAATAAAGTGATTAGTATATCTCATGGCGAACTTTTAATAAATATATTATTTTTTCTAATTAAAATTCAAGTATATGATAAAAAAATATCATTGCATTTAAAAAATAATAAATAATTTAAAATTATGATTTGTCATATATATAAAAGAGTAGTCAATATAATTCACAAATTTTTCTAGAAGGTCCATATAATTGATTGTTATCCTACAAATACAACATCTATATTTTAATATTATTTAATACGTGATTAATGTAATTTATATCAATACTTCAAAATTGTTTTCATAGTTAT